GAGAAAAGTTTGATCCATGAAATTCCTCACAAGAAGGTTTATTTTATTTGGATTATAGTTTCTGCTGCTGACGTTTTAGTCTGTGTATTTCTTTGGTGGACTTTGAGCATCACAAAGCAGACTGATGGCTCCAGAACAAAATGATCCAGATGGATAAATAGAGATTTGATTCAGAGGTGAATGAACTGCCCCACAAGCATAGTGGTAAAGAGTGGTGGATCTTACCTCTCTCCTCTCTTTGGACAGCACGACAAAGCCATTGTTGTCGACCAGGTAACAGCTCAGATCCTGAACAGGAAGAAGCAGAAAGATCACTTTAGGATCTTCTAACACAGAGGATGATTTTTGGTGATGAGCAACAAACAAGAAACAACTGCTGTGTACTTACGGCACTGTCACAGCTGAGAGGACACACACCTTCAATGTCTGAACACTGGAGGAAGGGAAGGAAAAGGAAAGTGTGGAGATTTGAGAGAATTTAGTCTGAATGCTTCTTTTTATGGAAAGTAATAAAACAGTAAAAACAACATAATTCATATAATTAATGTTTACTTACATCTGTGTCGTTGGGCTGCAAGATGAAACAGACAGTGAAAAGAGTGATGCATGAATTAAAATGTAATTATTATAACAAATCAGAGATAATAAGAAACATTAAGCAACATTTATGTTGGCATCCTGCAGAAAACGAAAGCTCGGCTGTGAATCAGTTTCTGCGATAAACACAGAAAATGTATAAGACGCAGGTGAGGATGGATGACAGCAGCTTTCACCCTCACGCTGCTGCAGTTTTTAAATTCAGATTTTTGAATCGAGCTTCCTTAAATGATCCCTTTAATCTGCTTAAACTGTCACAAAGAGCATCTATTTGCATAAAATGTGGTTTTATTTTGGGTCGCACACCATCATTTGGTTTAAGAGCACCGACAGCTTCAGTTTCCACTCGCCAGGATCACTTTTCTGCTATAAAAATGCAAGAAGGCATACTTTTACATCCTGTTTTGAAGGCGAGAACCTCTAATCCCCAAACTTTAAACTCCACCGAGGCTGAGGGGTTTTTACTGTAAGGGAATGACACGTTACGAAGCTCAGAAACTGTAAATCAGCTGCAAGAGAATGTAAATGTGTTGAGTCGGTCGGATGAGTTAGTGTCGGCACTGAAGCTATCCTGTAAATACATTAATCCAGCCCGTCACAGCTGTCAGCTCCTATTAATAACATTATCTACACCATCAACCTCCACGGGACATCTGCAGCTCTGCTTCTGCTTCAGTTAACTGCAGGGGGAGACGTTTGCAAGGTCAAAGACCTGCGGAGAGAGTGTAACACCAGCCGGCCTTCTGGGGACAACTTTTTCAACAGGATCAAAAGTTTGTAGCCAATTTTCAGCTTATTACACAGCAGGAAGGAAAACTGCAGAGCTCAGTTTGCTTCTATTAGATCTTCACCATCAGGGGGAAAAAATAAAGTCTGTTTCCTAAATTATAAGGGGCTCTTCTTGTGCTCTGCAGTCGTTCCAGTCCATGACAAAGATACCTCTGCTTGGAGTCACTAGGTAGAAATACAGCAGCAATCGTTCCTTCTCTTTATCAGATGGGGAAAAAGGTTTTGTAATTAGCACCTTCTTACATCTATTACAGAGACGATCAAGATAAAAACCATTAACTATTAGATAATGTGTGGCTGGGATTAGGACTGCCACTATTAGTCGACTAGTCACGATTACGTCGACTATCAAAATCGTCGACGACTGATTTAATAGTCGACGCGTCGTTTGAAGCTTTGTAAGATCACAAAAGACGCAGGAATAAGTAGTAGGATTTAAGAGTGTAATAACGGACTGAAACAGAAGATGGCAGCACTGCACGTACAAGGATGTCAGCTGCCGTTAAACCTCGAAGAAGAAGAAGCAGCGCAGCCCTGCTCAGTTTCCAACAATGGCAGCAGCTAGTAGTAGTTTAACATATTTTCAGACGAGAATGTAGCTGTGTAAACCTCAAATATCTTTTCAGTTTATCAAGACACCACATATTTTCAAAAGCGCTCCGACGTTTTCGGAGATGTCTGTTAGCCACTAGCTCGATAGCTAGCCGGGGGCTAGGCTAACTAGAGCCGTGAGAACATCGGACTCCCGGCAAATCGTTTTCAAACCCACCACCGTCTTTCGCTACTGAGGTTAAACATGATATATGAGTCACTTAGATAACTTAAAAATGTTATTGTTTGGTTTTTTCAGTATTTTATTTGTTCTTGAGTAAATCGGCTGAGTTTATTAAACTCCACCGAAACAATCTGCACATTAAAATCTAATAAACTACCATCTTGTCTTTATTTTTAGTTAGCACATACCTTAAACACTTCAAGCTGTAAGCTAATGATAGTTATATAAGAGCAGATGCATTTTGGTGCAATAAGCTGTAGTTTTACGTCCAATGGATGATGATCTGATTAGTCGACTAATCGCAAAAATAATCGTTGACTAGTCGACTATCAAAATAATCGTTTGTGGCAGCCCTAGCTGGGATTTGGTCCTGTTATCTCATGTAGCTCCTGTTCCTCTGATTGGAGACACTATTCCTCACCATGCCAGGTGCTGTCAGGTCAATTTTATGTGGGGATTTTCTCAAAGCTACAGGATAAATACAGTCAGAAACCAGATGAATAATCAAGTTGAAAAGGACGCCACTTTTATTTACTTCTGTCACAATCCTGAACTAATCACACCTCGATATTTTACATGAAAAGGCTGCAGCACCTTCAGACTTGGTGTTGGAGCGCTTTACAGCTCATTTCCACAATGCTGGTTGCTTTGAAACATTTAATGTTCAGTCCTTTTCACAGCTCAGGGAGAGGTTGGAGGGCCAGACTGTTTGGTTCAACCATCTGAGGGATCATCTGCACCACAGTTCATTACAACCAAAGCTCATTGTTATAATTTACTTAAAAGAAATCAACACTCTGTTTTATGTTGGGATAAACAGACGTGATTTACGATGGTGGTCTGCTGTCGTACCAACATCACCCACTTTCTGATATTTCTGTGCAAAAGCTTAATAAGTCCAAGAAGAGACACATGGAGAAGGAAATGTCAAAAATGGGACCTCTTTAGACTAAATGACCCAACAGGACAAACTAAAGAGCACAATCCATTTCTGATGTATTATTAAGAATGAAATCCACTTACTTCTGACCTTATTGACTTTATTCTATATGCACATTTTGCTTTAATCTTAATGAAAGGTCTGAGAGAATAATCGCCTACACTTAATGATTTCTGCTCTCTAATGAACAAAAAGGAAAATTGAGAAAATGACCTCTGAATCTGGAGGATTATAACTGAACAGTCACAAGAAAGAATCTCTTCTGTGTCCTTGGAAACTTGGTGACATTTGGTGCTGCTTGTTAACTACCTGGAAGACTCTGGCCCAACTGCAGACGAAGCTGCATCTCCACCACGAAGACGTTTATGATCCCACAGGGGGCGAAGATATAAAACTTGGATGGCTTGAAAGCTTATTTACATTTTAGCACCTCTAGCTTAAAATATTCTCAAAAGTCTGCACTGTTTCAGATCAAACCTGCAACAGCAGACAGTTTGTACAAGGTCACAGCCAGAATACAATTCAGCAGGGAATAAGGATGCTAAAAACAAACCTCTGTTTGTCCTCTGATACTGTATATTCAGTCAGATCTTAGTTTTTATATCGGAGGACATAGAAAAGTAACACAACTGCGAATCGGTTACTCTTCAATTCTGTTCTGCAATGAAGTTATCAGTGCTGTAACATCAATATCCGATCAATGCCAGACTCCCACCAGGGGCATGTTGAGGAAGTCTCTGTGTTCAGGGTCAATTTAGCAGAATTTGACAGAAAACTAGTGCCGTGGTCTTTAAAATCCCAGCTGCTCCATCCATTGAAAATGATGGTGTGAATGAGAGTTCTGTAACAGGAAGTGCATGTTTCATTTCACCAAATCAGGGCAGGAAATAAGAAAGAATCAAAGAAATTAAAATACATCCGCATATTTTATCCATTTTAGAAAAAAGGCCATTAAAGCCTTTGAGCTAATGGCAACGTCAGCTTGAGTTGAGCTAATGCTAACGTCAGCTTGAGTTGAGCTAATG